TCGACTAAACTTTACTAGGAAAAAGTAAATTTGAACACTGTATTCGGAGCATGCTTGATCTACTAAGCATTTATTAGTGGTCTCCATTCTCAGGCAAGTCGCATTTCGCTACCTCAGAATTGCAAATTTCTATCTGACATTTTGGAAGTTTTGAGTTACTAAGACGATGTGGCCAAAAAGCAAATGTCCCATCTGCTCTATCAAAATCGCAAAATTGTTCGGAGTCGTTATCAATATATTCAAATACGTGCAGTCGAAAAAGCTTGACATGTTGTGAAACTCAAAATTTGTTTACGTCAAATTTCTCAAGACTATGTACAGAGCAAATAGAACTTTGCAATTTTAAGGTAACGATTTGGCTCACCATAACGTTATGTTCAAAATGTAAAACGCTTTTCACGTCTTTTAAGAATGTTGGAAGGATCGAAATTTGCTTTTATTCTTCAATTTCTTTTTTCCGCCCCCTCAGTACACAACTGTGCAAAAATATGGCGCCGCCTGTGCGCGTGGAGAGCGACTGCGTGGAAAAAGAGGGCGTCAACTTCCACTTCCGGCATCAGCGCTGTGTTCCGTCTGGGAGCTTTTTCCGCATGTCGCAGTCTCTCGTCTGCATGGCTTCTTGGAATTACGACGGATACGGGTTTGCACTGCTCCGGAAGGGCGAGGAGAGGTCTTTTTATTGCATGAGAGTCAAGTTTCACAAGTCAAGTTTAGAGGTACTTAAAATCTATTTACAAAGTAATAATGAAGAAAAAATACGACTATGGTGCAGCTCTGAGAACGTGTCAGCTGAAAGGAATTTTTTGTTGCACTCGAGTCGTTTACATTACTCGCTTTGGAAGAGGATTCTCGACTGCCGTCAATGTTGAAACAGTTTTAGTTTATAAATACTAAGTGCACACTCCAAATCGAATTGATTCAAGTCAGTCGGGGCTAGCCAAAGTTTCCTTCAAGAAGGGGCAAGAGGTACCACTTTGGCACAATACGACTGATTCGGCTGGCAGCCTTATAAAAAACAATACGTTTGATTTTGAAGATCAGATTTGAATGTAGATGTTATCATCGGCATTTGAAAACTTCTCTTTTATAAATAGTATCTCACAATATT